GTCACTCTTTTCAGCCTGAAAATTAATTCATTTTAAGAGAACTTCCTCCCACAGTGCATGGTTCCCTGTATGTTGAATGATCTGATGATCTATTGTCACAGGTCAAGATATGAGATACATTGAGAGACAACTACAAATTGCTCTAAACAGAATCATAAAGTGGTCCAACAAGAATGGTTTTAAATTTTCTAGCCAGAAGACCAGTCCATGCGTGCATTTCTGTCGCAAAAGAAATCTACATCCTGATCAAGAGCTGCATCTTTGACGGCTCTTTGATGCCGTGTTGAGCCAGAAGCAAAATTCTTAGGAGTTATTTATATTTGACATAAAGCTCACTTTCCTTCCGCATATCTTAAATCTAAAGAAAAAATGTGCTAAAGCTCTCAACATACTGAAAGTCCTGGCCAATACTTCATGGGGAGCAGAACGTTGTTCTATGCTCCGCATTTATAGAGCTTTAATCCGTTCCAAACTTGACTATGGCTGTGTTATCTATGGATCAGCAAGACCTTCTGTGCTACTGAAATTGGATCCAGTCCACCATCAAGCGCTACGGATTTGCTGTGGAGCCTTCAGAACATCTCCAGTCCAAAGTTTATATGTCATCTGTTTTGAACCTTCTTTGGAATTCAGACGCAAGCAGTTGTCCATTGATCTTCATTATAAAGTAATGTCACAGGCCGAACATCCTGTCCGACTCATGACATCTGATCAGTACTGGCATCTTTACCATGCCCGTCCTTCATGTATCCCACCTTTTGATCTTCGCATTCACTAACTGATTTAAGAATTTAACCTAAATGATCTGCATCCCAAAAGCTTTGACCTTTTCGGTATTGTTCCCTGGCAAGAAGTGAACATTCACCTACTTAACATTTTTGGAGAACTAAAGAAGTGCAGTACCAATGATATCCATTACCAACAAATTTTCCTAGAACATAGAAGCAGTTATTCTCTAACTACAAAGCAATTTTTACTGATGGCTCAAAGAATCATGACCACGTCGGGGCAGCTTTTGTTTGTGATAAAGAAATAAAGAGTAGTAAACTTCATAAGGCTGCATCTGTCTTTACTGCGGAAACTTTTGCCATTTTGAAAGCTTTAATCTTTATCTCTAGGCAGAATAGCAGAAAGTTCATTATCTACTCTGACTCTTTGAGTGCTCTCGAATCAATAAATAAAAATACCAGCCACCCTATGGTCTTAGAAATTTTAAAGTTCCACCTCCGTTTGAGAAACGCAGGTTATTATATAGCGTACTGCTGTGTGCCTGGACACGCTGGCGTCAAAGGCAATGAACTCGCCGATATTGCAGCAAAATCTGCTGATATTACCTCAGAAAAACGATGTACCTTTTACGGTTATACGGAATTACATTAAAACAAAGTTCTTGTTCAGGTGGTAAGAATTCTGGGAATGCCAAACTGTGAAAAAATTAAGGCAGGTAAAACCCAATTTGGAGTACTGAGAGTCGAGAGGGAATCGGAAGGAGGATGTACTACTGACTCGCTTGCGAATTGATCATTGCAGACTGACACATCAGTACCTCTTGAAAGGAGATAATGAGCCTATTTGTGGCACTTGCAACGTTCCTATTTCAGTCAATCATATTTTAACCTGCTGTCCTGCTTTTAGTCAGAAACGTGAATTTTATTTTAACTCTACGAATGTTAACTCAACAGATCTCATTGGAAGAAACCCTCACATCAACCTCATAAGTTTTTTAAAAGACATCTCCTTTTATAATATGTTTTGAACTACATTTTATCCTGCTCTACCTGTTGTTTTAGCTTTTTTCAGTCACTTCTGCCTGGACATTTTAAAGTCATTTCTCCATGCCTTCATCAGTATTTCACGTTCATTTCATCAATTCACTTGATAGTTGTTTATGCATCTTGAATTTTACTCACCATTTATCTGGCGCATAATAACCCTCGAGGTTTTATGCCATTTAAAAAACCAACCAACCAACCATCAGTTTGGCGCCCTTTGGATTCTGCGCCAGGGGACAGATGCCCCCTTTGCCCCCGTCTAGCTACGCCCCTGCTGTAAAAGTTCCATATAGTTGATCTAAGTCGTTAAAATATTCGTTGTATGTAACTTTATTCTTATCAAAAGTATACGAGATATCAACCAAAGCATAATATCAAATGGAAGTAAAATATACGCATGAAGTTAGAACCGCATTCGCTCTCCTTGCTTTTTTATTTCCCAATTCATCATTTACATTTGATCTAGAATAATAAAAAAGGCCAGTCTGTGACATATATCGTAAAATATTTCCTAACAACGTATTCTTATCTTAATTATGGGAGGGGCTTCCCACAGTGGGCCAGTGGGTTTTCAGTAGTCGTCTTATAAGGTATTTCTCCCGCTTTTTTAGCATGCAATCGTAGTGTAGTGGTCTGCACGCTGGGCGCGTTTTCTAGAGATCCGTGGTTCGATTCCCGCCGAAGGTATTGCTCCTTCTTTACTCCTTCCCGTTTTAAAAATAGGCTAATTACTCTACAGTGGCGCCCGAACTAAAAGGGTGGTGGATGATGATTCTCCACACCCAGGATTTGGCGACTAGGTCCTCTAAACCCCAGTCGCCCTTTAAAAGGGGGAGTATATAAGGTATTTCTCCCGTCTCCTTAGCTTCGTACTATAGTGGTCAGAGCGCTGGGCGGGTATTCCAGAGGTCCGTGGTTCGACTCGCAGCGAGGGCGTTGCTCGTTTTTCATCACTCCTGCTTTAAAAATAACCTAATGACTCTACAGTCTCGGAGAATCAGCTGTAAAATTCTGTTGTTTCGTGAGAATTTTGCCTCTGATTGTAACCGAAAAGAAAATTTTGTTATTTAATTTTATTTGCGAAAGAATTAAACTTACAGTGATAATATACAGGAAGACTTCAGTATCTGATTAATTAAATTTAGCATATGAATGGATGTTAGATAATTTACAGAACTTCGGAAAATGAATTCTTTTTTCCTTTCTTACGTGAGCGAATTTTGCATTTGAAACACATTGGACGATTTTAGGAACCATTCCTATAGTTGCGATCCTAATGTCCGCTTAGGAAGTTCGCATACTGTAAGTACTGTTGTTTCAGCGTGTAATATTTAATATTTTATATTAATATTAATATTAATTTTCAGGTAATAATATTTTACATTTCTAACAAAAGTGCCATACTAGCTTTTCTGCAAACCTTTTGAGCACAGGAGTATGAACTGAATTATTAATTTATGGCAAAGCGCACTTGCATAAAGAAAGGTGTGCCTCCGTGAAGGATTTTTTAAGACAAGCTGGTTCGTATTCCCGTTGCTCATGGAGAAAACCATAAAAACTCATTTGGCCAGCAATTTCGCCGGGATTTGAACTAGAGGTGAGATAGCAGTGTTCAGCGATTTTACCCCACTACAGTTGGTGGGCTGATTTTAGGAGTATATTTGTTTGTTTCACAGTTTCTCCATAATTATAATCTTTCTAGTCATACTCATATTAATATCGTAAAATGTTTTGAGCATACGAATATCGTTACAGATCAGAAAAGGTGAAAGTAAAACCAAATTTGCAATTAAGTATGGAACTAGAATGTTATTGATTTCAGATATAAATCATTATTCAGAATGAATTCAGAATAAAATAGGCCTTTTAATTTATTTGCAATTTTTTAAAAAATAACATGAGTGAAAAAACAGCTCTCTCATTTGCATTAGACTGAATAATGTTTGAAAGACAATCCGATTATGCGGGATTTTTCAGATTATTATAACGTACTTTGGATAGGTAGAGTTACTTTAGATCATTGGAGTTCAATTATACTTGCTGAAAGTGGAAACACTCAGGAATATTATCAAAAAGAACTAAATTTTCCTTAGTACGTAAGTAATAGAAGCAAAATAATTTAAAATGTTTTCAACAAGAATGCAAATAATGAAACTTTCGAACAATGCGATAACGACGTTCAAGTACATGTGAGTTTAACCTGAAGAATGGGAAGATGGGAATTCCCCTTCTTAACAATGTAGTCATTCTAAAGTCGATCATAAAAATCACATAACAGAGGTTTACATATTTGGCGACTTTTCACTCCTTCAGCGATTTTCAGCGCCGAATAAAATTCCACCGGCTTAAATGGTAGAGTTACAAACTTTCAATTTACAACTCATTTATACGTAAAATTCAGTCATTGTTTTAATTTCATCATCTTTACTTTTGTAATCGTTATACGTTCTGTAAAACTGATTAGGCCAAAGGAGCGTTGGCTCTGAAGGGCTATTAATTTCGTTTTGGTATTTTGCGTCGATTCATTATAAACGGCGAATCACTTTTGAAATTGTTGCCACAAAACATTATCGCCCTGTGTTATATTTAAAGAAATTAAATAATGAAGAATCAGCATAAATATATGTATGTTTATCGCATTGTGATAAAACAGCGGTATCTAGAGTCATCAAATTTTGCATAACGTACGTCTCCACCCGAATATGGGCATCTGAAAAGCCAAATTTGGAATTTGGAATTTGTTTAATTATCTATTTTATATTTTATAAAGCACTTTTTAGTCTTTGATTAAGAAAGTCAACGATTTTAAAGCCAGCAATGGCAACAGTCATGGAGCAACAGTATTCGGGGGGGGGAGGAACACATTTTTATCTCCAGCGCGCGAAACTGTGTATCGGAAATTCTGAAGATATGCTCTTTTAAATAATTTGCGATATTGCTGTTCAGTAAACTTGTTCAGTGAGCATGATACAAAGTGTAGGGTTCTAAATACTACTTACGCTATTGCATTTAAAGTACTGTACTTGCCCGTATATATATTAAAATTCATTATAATGATCAGTAATAAGAGTTTTATACTTAAAAATTGTGCGTTTTATACGCCGGCAAATACGGCAAATCTTCTTAGTTGATTGCAGAAAAGACCTACCAAATCTCACGCTGTAGATAAAAAAAACGGTTTCGTTTCCTTCATTGCACCTTTGGCAAAGATTTGGCGAGGGATTTGAATTTTTTCTTTTTTTTTTCTTTTCTTTTTTTTTTTTCCATAGCCAGAAAAGAAGTTTCGGTTATATTTAACCCTTTATCTACGGAAGAAGAAGATCATTTCTCATCTCTGTTGCAATACTATTCAAGGCGGGAAGCTGTTCTTCAGTTGTAAGTTATTATTTTCTTCTCATCAGATTAAATTATTCATTATAATACATTTTTGAATTCAGTTTTTAAGTTTTAAACTAAATTAGCGTAACAACTCTACTGCAAGAAAATTCATTACTTTCGGAAGTGTTTTACTTGGAACTTGCGATGGTAAAATGTGTATACGAACGTATGTTTTCACGTCTTATATTGAGAATACGAAACGTATGTTTTCATGCCTTATACTCGTTTTATCAAATAGTTTAGAATTTAAATATTAGTAATAAGAAAATTATTTATTATCGCTACAAAAGTTATATTCTGAGCTGTAACGTAACATCTTTCAAAATGTCCAAAGACTTTTCTACTTAAAAAGAACTAAGTTTTAAAGTTCTAATAATCCAAAAATTTCATAAAGCATGAATAATACACTCTTTAGTAGTAAAACATACGCTTTTGCATCAGATTAAACTATGTATTTGTACACTTTAAAAGACAATCGGTTGCATAAAATTAATATCCCATAATAATATAATAATATGCAACATAACAGAATAATAAATAAATAAAATAAATAATAAAAAAATAAAATAAAAAACAAAAAAAAAACTTCGAAACTGAAAACTAGAAAATTCAGATTGTCTAATATCTTGAAGGGTTAACATAAAAATGCTTAAAACATTAAAAAAATCTGAAAGATTTCAGATTTTAACTGTCGCCCAAAAAAGTTTGTTGAGGTTTTTTACGCTCTCGCTGAGCTCGCAGTTTACCAGTCTGTTGTTTCACTAACTCCTAATAACCTCCTCTTTTTTGGGAAAGGGGGTCTTTTTAGCTTCATTATTAAGCATTATTTACTTCGTACTTAAGTTGTATACATTATAACAGCAATATTGCCAAAATAAAAATATGAAAGTTTACAGATTTTAAATTACGTCCAAAGGGCCGTCTTTGTAACGTTTTTTGTGGTACCTTTATTTATTAAATATCATGTTCTTTGCACTTAAACCATAAAATTCAATTCAACAGCAATATTGCAAAATAATTTTAAAATCAGCATATCTGCAGAATTTTCGATACATAGTATCTTGCGCTGGAGGTTAAAATGTTTTTTTATTCCATACAGTGTTGCCATTGCTCGCCTTGAAATCGTTGAGTTTGTTAATCAAAAAATCGGTAAAGTTTTACAAAATATGAAATTAATAATAAAACAAATTCCTAAATTTGAAATTTGGAATTTGTTCAGATACCCATATTCGCAGTAGGATTACATCATTCAAAATTGGATGGCTCTAGGTACCGTCGTTTTATCACAATCCGAGAAACATACATACATTTATGCAGATTTTTCCTTATTTAATTTCTTCAAATATAATACAGGGCGATAGCATTTGGTGGCAACGATTTGAAAAGGGATACAGCCTTTTAAAATTTTCAGAGCAAAATCGCAATACGAAAGCAATAATCCTTCAGGGACAAAGCCCCCTTAGGACTAAATATTAAAGCAGCGTAGCAGAATACGTTAGAATTCAAAATACAGCGTTACATGTAGGCATTACATTGTTTTTACCACAAAGGACGTTAGCCCAGAAGGGCTATTGATTTCGTTTTGGCATTTTGCGCTGGTTCACTATAAATGTTGGTTCACTTTCAAGTTGTTGCCACCGAATACTATCACCCAGTGTTATATTTAAAGAAATTAAATAATAAAGAATCTATATAAATTCATGTGTGTTTCTAACATTGTGATAAAACAACGGTACCTAGAGCCATCGAATTCTGAATAACGTAATTTTCAACCGAATAAGGGCATCTGGAAGCTCCAATTTGGAATTTGAAATTTCTTTTATTATCGATTTCATATTTTGTAACACTTTAACGAATTTTTGACTAACAAACTCGACGATTTCAAAGCGAGCAATGACAACAATGTACGGAAAAAAGAAACAGTAAAACAACAGGTAACACGCAAAACGTTAAAAAAAGTCCCTTTGAGCGTAATATAAAAACTGAAGACTTTCAGATTTTTTTTTTCAGTCTTTTCGAAGTGTATCATATCAATGTTCAATTTTTACTAAGATGGCATTACAAAACTTTGTCTTTTAATTATTAACGTTCTGTGTGAATACTTTATTAGTTAAATATCAGGCTCTTAACGCTTACGCCACATAAATTCGATTCAACGGCAAAATCACAAAATATTTAAGAACAGGATATTTTTTAGCATTTCCGATTGACAGTCTCGCACGATGGAGATAAAAACACTTTTTTCGGGTGCAGGGCTGCCACTGCTTTAAAATCGTTGTTAAACAGAAATTCGTTAAAATTTTACTAATTATGAAATAGATAATAAAAAAAATTCAAAATTCAAGCTTCTAGGTGCCCACGTTCGGGTGGAGGACAATGTTGTTCAAAACTGTATGGCTCTAGGTGCCGTCGTTTTTTCACAATGCGAGGTGTAGATTCTTCATTATTCAATTTCTTTCAAGTGCGATAATATTTGAAAATTTATATACCGTTTATAGTGATACAACACAAAATGCTCTTTCAAGGTTAGCATCCCAATCGTGATTAAAGTCTTTTTTGGGCAAAAAGATATGCAACAATTTTTTTAAACGAAACCTACTCAAATATTTCTTTTTTGTTCATACAGAAACATAGTACCAGTGCCAACTTATAAAACCAAATCTCTTGCTGTTGAATAAAATTCTAAACCAAATAAAAAAACTTGACTAGAACTTTATTTTAAATTTATTTTTGAAACTATTTTTGAATACATTGTTTGTTTTCGCAATTTTTTTAAATATAAATAAATATAAATGAAAAATATCAAAATACTATAAATGCATATTTCATTTTCGAATACATACATACATACTTATAGCACATTGTATGTATGCATATTTAATGAATTTAGAATATCGTTGATGGCACAGATTTTGAAGCCTGCTATAGAAATACTGAAAATCGTGATGCTGGAATATGAAGCAGTATTTATCTAACGTGATACACACATGTCACAAACACCCTCAAACTAGTTTCGATTTCGGTATCATTTTGATTTGCTAATTAATACACTGGGTGAAGGCTTGTGTAAGTTATTTCCATCAGAGCGTTATGTAAAAAATCATATGAAAGTCTGTTAATTTTGAAAACGACAGAATTTAGAAATGTGTATACTCTTTTTTAGATTATAAAGAATTACTGCTCTTTAGAACAGAAATGGGAAATATTCAAATTAAAATGATGAGTTATGGGGCTATTGCAAAGTTAAATTAGAATTTTGATTTACACATTTTTTATCTTACACATTTCTCCTTTTCAGAAAGAAAAAGAGTTAGCCACAAGAAAGCCTAGCAAATGTAGAAAAATATAATTTGAAAAATACACATAATAAAAATACATAATTTTTGTTATCTTATATTTTTTAGCCCAAAGGGCCAATTTGGCCAGAAGGGCTATTAATTTCGTTTTGGCATTTTGCGTCAGTTCGCTATAAATGTCAGTTCACCTTTTCAAATTGTTGCCACCAAATATTAGAGCCTTGCATTATATCTAAAGAAATTAAATTCTAAATCTGCATGAATGTATGTAGATCTCTCGCACTGTGAAAAAACAAAGGTACATGGAGACATCAAATTTTCAATAACATAGTCTTCCATTCGAATATGGGACCTGGAAGCCTAAATTTGGAATTTGTTTTATTATTTATTTCATATTTTGTCAACATTAAAGAATTTTTGATTCCACCATTTCAAAGCGAGCAACGGTAACACTTTGCCGGGGAGCGTAATGACAAACCGCACATTGAGTTGATCAATATGTTAACGAATTTCGCTTAGTGCGCATGCTCGGTGGCGTACCACTGGCGTGGGAGGAAAACACTGGCGACTAAGCATAAGCACAAGTCTGTTCGTCATGTAGATCTTAACGACTGTTTATAATACTATGGAAATTTGTTTCTGTTTATTGCATTTGCTTCTGTTTCATTTCAGTTTGGTTTATTTTGTGCATAAACATTACATTTAATATCAGTTATTTATAATAATTTCTTTGACTTTAATTCAGTGATTTAAACTGGATTTATTCCTTAATTTGTTAAAATATATACGAATGAAACGTATGGCAAATACTCGATCGCTTTTATTCCTCAGAAGTATAATAAAAAAACATTCAGCTAATACATTTTGCAATGTTTCCTGTTTTGTAATTCTTCTTAAACGAAAATTTGCTAATTTACAATCGACATTCACACTCTAAGTAATGAAACAACTTACAAACTAACAAGTTTTAAAACCCCGAACTGTTTACGCCCAGATAACACAATATCAACAATATACCGTATTTATCTTCTTTTAAAATTCCTCCAAATTCCCCTCTCGGCATGCAGAGAGTGCAAAATTCGTTTAACATTCATTAACTAAAAGTACAGTTTGCCATTACGCTGCCGGGGGAGGAGGGAACTTTTATCTCCAGCGCGCGAGACTGTGTACCGGAAATTCTAAAGATACGCTCTTTTAAATATTTTATGATATTGCTGTTGAATTGAATTTTATGGTTTAAGGGCGAAGAACATGATATGTAATAAGTAAAGGTAACACACAAAACGTTAAAAAACGCCCCTTTGGACATATCAAATCTGAAAGCTTTCAATTTTTTTTTTCCAAGGGCCCCCCCCCGCATCTGTCCCCGGGCGCAGAATCCAATGGGTGCCAAACTGATGTTACGACATTTTAGAATTTCCATCCTTGGCAAGCAGTAGGAGGCGCGAAACCTTCAGTTGTCCCTAGGCGCTGAAAACCCTAGCTACGACTCTGGCGAATTCGCTACAGTCAGCAAGAGCAGTTTTCTAAGCAAAAACTTAAAGCAACAACAAACAAACTAAAATCATCGAATTGAGAGGTTTTCCTCCTTTTTATAAGATTTTTACATCGCGCGCGAGAATTTTCTGAAACTTTCTCGAAATTAAAAAGAGATACTTATTTATTAAATGTTAAATGCACTTGTTCATGTATTTTTAATTT